GTTTTGGTGCACCAATATGGCCGCCGGAAATCAACAAAAACATCTGGAATTCACTTTTTCTATGAAAGCTCTTTTTTTCACTCGAGAACTAGAATACGTTCGTATAAACATATCTTCTAATACTTGAAATGGTTATACTGCTGAAAATTAAGAGGAGAGACTTTTTTTCAACGAGACAGCATTCCTATTTTGGTGTCACGCACCGTGAAAACTCGGAAGTTCAAATTGCTGTATTTTCGAAATGAAACATTCTACGGGAATGGAAACTTGTACGAAGATTTATTTTTTGTTTATCTGCAACCTAGTGTAAATAAGAATTCGTAAACCCTCGCTGTTTTGACTTTACAATTTGATGACGTCACTGTGAAAACCACCTATTGCTTGCAACGAGCTGAAAAACAAATTGCTCAGGTTAATCACCTCTTTCAACTTTTGAATTTAGTTCGTATATACGGCCACGGCTCCAATGAGTTAAGTCGTATGCTAATGAGGAAAAATGTCAGTAAACAAGACGTCAGCGAGGGTTCGCCTATAGTGTGATGAGTTGTGATTTAACTCTCTAGAAGAAATCAGTCTTTTTCGACCGGAAGCCTTTACATGTGTAAAAGAGTTTGAAGGTTGGCGACGAGGGATCCCCTGGTGAGGGATCTACATTTGTGGTACCAAACAACGAACAGGGTGGTGAAATACGCAAATTGGGTCTTAACAGGGGTATGGGCGGCACATCTCTACCCAAACTTTTCTTGAGTGTCCCCCGGCGCGCTTTGGTTAAACTACACGCGCGACTGGCAATCATAAAACCCTAAGCTTTTACAACACATAAATTATATTTTAGCACCATCAAGAATTCTAGGCATGTTTGAAGCCATAGTAATCTACTGCTCCCGTGGTCTCCAGTAAGCGAATACATAAACCGAATATGTTTTTAATACGTCCGGGCCCCCACTTCCACAGAACTAACGTATTCTCGTTATATTTATGATTATTCGAGAGCATCCATAGTCTCGCAATACGCATAAAGAATCTTACTCAAACAATTTAACTTGATTTGACTTTGCTGCTTTACTGATGCGTACTGACTTCGACTTCGAATACGATTGCTGCAACTGAACGATTAATATGAAAAGTGGTGAAGTTTTCTAGGCCAGCAAGACCATGTCTGTTCGAATTAAATCTAAGTTATCCAGAAAGTTAATGAATGAAGCTGTTTTATTTGTCACGTATGTATTTTGACGCCCCCTTAGGCAAAACAATCTTCCTGTATCAAAGGAAAATTCATGGTCTGTGCACTGATTCCTCAGTTCTCATCCGGTCCTAGAGTTCGTAATATTAATTTTCCTTTCCAAAGAGCTGCGTCTTCTAGTAAAATGTCCATACAGGGGTCAGATGAGTGCCGAAAGAGTTAACTCTATATGATTAAAGTGTTCTATTCTTAGTTATTATAATTGAGCAAACTTTACCTTCTGTTCAAAACATAAAACTGTTCGATTCAAAGCATTGAATAAGCGCGGGTACGAGGAACAGCAGCTTGAGTAACGGTGTTTAGTAAAGTGATATTCGTGCAACGTCTATGAACATCACGAATGAGGAAATAAAAAGTCACTTAAACTACCCAAAGCCCAGTGACGTAACATCTATGAACATTAAAAGTGAGGAAATAGATAGTCAATTCCATTGACGTCAGTTTCATAATTTTAGGGTGCGTTTCGTGTGTATTCGACTCTGGGGGGGGGGAGGGGGGGTGGGGCTCGACTGGGAATCTCTGGATTTCGATTGTGAAATCATGATTTCGTATTTTACAATAAAATGGGCAGACAAAAAAAAATTCAACGACAGAAACTCCGTCCTCGGATTTTGGGATTTCCCTTCTCAACAGATTTCTGGACAATCCGAGAAACGATACGGTATGCAAAACTGTTCTCGTGAACAGCGCCTTACAGTGGTCTTTTGCGGTCCTTTTTCCGCTAATTATGCACGCGCGTGCAAGACCGCTGTGGGTTATCTATGAGTAGCCGAGCAGAGAAATATTTTGAATCAACAGTAAAGGAACAATCTGGATGGCAGGCAATAATGAATGTCTTCAAAACCTTATGGAAGGTGTTTGTTGCGATTTTTATGTGTTTGGAGGCCTGCGCGAAAGCGTGGATGGTGAGCCTGTGCTTAACGAAACACATTTCATGCGTTGGTAATCATGTGCGTAACGAAACACATCTCATGTTAGAATATATCGAGTATTCATCGAATGTTGGCAACTACACTCGCTTTTGTGCGATTCGTTTGTAGGAGGAATTTTCTGCGAAATCATTCTGTCATGAGTAGTCAAAAGCCATCGGTTTTAATAGACATCGTGTCTGATACCATCTGACCATGGTAAGTACTTAGCTTTGCTTGATTTTCGTGGCTAGTTTACAGATGGAGAAGGAACACTTCTCAACTCCTAAATGATTCGGCTAATAAGCTTAATGCAGCCAGCAGGTGCTGTGAATTTGACAGTTACAATAATGATATTATATCATATTTAATACGGTCTTTGACTTCGAAGGCGTTAGCAGACGGTACAAATGACTCCTAGTGCATGGAATGCCTTTAATGTTATTTTGTTCATTGTACAAACATTTGATGAAACCACAAGTATACCCGGAAGCGTTTGTTTATATTATGGTAAAGAATAATGATGACACTGCATGACTCAGGCCCGTTCCACTGTAGGCACTGTGTGGTATTGAACTTAAACTAGCCTGTGAAAAGACGAGGAGATGGTGAGGGGAAAAGTGGAAGAGAGGAAGTGGTGAATGGGGTCTTTTTTCGCTCGAGCCGATTTTTCCCTTTTTTCGCACCAAAGGGGAAGGAGCTTAGTAGTACCAGGCTATAAGCTCAGTTGATCGAATGATGCTGCACTCAGTTGTGAAACTCCGACAAACAAATTGAAATTAACAATAGTGATTTCCTCACTTTTGTTTGTCTGATTTTTGTTATTAAAAACACAAAAATGAAAAAAGTCAGACAACATTGCAATTCAGTTACTCTGTCATCATATGTGGGCCCTGAGTCTTATTTTTTTAAAAGGACTATTCCGTGCAAAAGTCGTTCCTTAGTGCCCTTTTTTCATGCAAAAAAAGCTCCTGTAGAGTTAGGGATTTTTTATTGATGCACGTATGGCATGAAAACTTAAAAAAAAAAATGGCAGGGGGTAAATTTTTCAAGTTTCAATCAATATGCGTCCTTGTAATGCTTAGTCACAGATGACAGGAAAAAGATGTCTAAATAATTGCATCAATGTCTAAATAATTGTAATCTACAATAACAAAACTGGAACATTAATTTTGAGATTCGCTTCAGAGGCTTTTTAGTTTTATAAAAGGGAGCGAAATAGCATGAGATGGCCCCTTTAAATTTCACAGTGAAACCAGTTACTGCTACTCTCATGTAGCACAGTAGGCTTTACTGTGCTACACAGCATAACTCAAGTAATATGGGTTTAGCTTGAAAGATACTTAAAGTTATCATAGGGTGTGTTCCTTTGGGATGAGCAGGATCAGGATTAGTGATCTGAGATCACTTGGATTCGACTCGGATTCAACTCATGGTACATCAAATGAACCAATATATCCTTTGCCAGGGTGGATTTGTTGGTTTCTTTGATGTGCTATGATCCAAATGATCTCAGAGCACTGATCCTGATCTGGATCATCCCAATGGAATGCACTCATCATCATCATCATCTTCATCATAATACCATTATTTAACAATTAATGAATTAGGCTGACTATCTTACGAAGAATTATTGAGATTGAGGAGGGTGTTATCTATCGAGGCTGCAGGCTGAGGCGGATAACACCCTACGAGATCTCCATAATTCTTCTTAGTATTTACCAAATCAGTGAATAGCAATTCTGGCGCATTTTGATTGGCACCTGTAACACGGACTATCCTTGGCTATTCACTGTTTTGCGATGGGAACCAAGATGGCATCTCGTTTCAAGACATTTTCGGAAGACGGAATTTTAGTGATAAATGAAGCAATCGTACAAAGAAATACCAGAAAAGCGACGAACCTTGTGTAAATTAATTCTGAAAAGCCCCTCGGGGAGAATTAATAAAAAAGTATTGTATTGTATTGTCGGTGTTTATTGTAAACAAAGTAAATTGTATATTGTAAAGAAAGTTCCTGCTAAGTGATGTTTTTAATTTACAAAAAGTTATTTTCTTCATTTTTATTCAACTGATTTGGTAAATTTATACTAAAACAACTATTCACCTCCCCTTCGGGGGATAGTTGTATAATATGATACGAAAGCCGAATTCAATATTATTGTTTTATTATTCATTCAAAATAATCCCTTGTTCAAAAACATAGCTAAAACATGCTTACCTCCATCAATGTTAAGTTCATCTTTGATAGAGATAATGCATGTTTAGGGTTGTTAAGCTCTGCAAATATTCTCCAAATAGCAGATGTTGCCCTTCGAGTTGTCTTCTTGCTGTCCTCACCATGCTTTTAGCTATTATTTAGCCTAGTTCTTACTCTTGAAATGAGTGAAATGTCCACCATTTTTGTTTTCACAACCAAAACAACTCAACCTTGTCCCCAGGCTTTCTTGGATAACGGTGCATTAATCTGCAAGAAAGCTGTATTTTTGACGTCCAGTTGATTGATTGCAAAATTCTTCCAAATTTGGTCATCAGTAGCTGGTTATGGTGAATTATGCGTGTGCTTTTAGCCAATCAGAATTGGGGAAATATTTTGAATGAATAATAGTATTATATAATTATTATTATAATAATATTTAATCTATCTTTCTTGAATGTTTTTTAAACAGTTAAAATAAAAATGATAGAGTATACTGTACTGCAGGTACATGGATAGGATCTATGGGCATGGAATGAAGCTAGGACTGATTACATTTTCTCAAATTATAGATCTTGTTCTCAAGATAAGGTGGTTTACCTTTATTTCTCAATTTAGGTGTTTCGTTGGAAAACGCCATCTGGAAGAAGCCATGAAGGCGTTTTCTAACAACCTGCACTTTGAAGTAGCATGGAAACCATTCTTCTTAAATCCTACTACTCCAGACACTGGAGTGCCTCTTGATCAATACCTGACACGCAAATATGGACCGAGGGTTGCAGCTCAAGCCAAAGAAGGAACAAGTCCATTGTCAAGAGCTGGCATGAATGTGGTAATTACATGTACAATTGTAATTGATATAATTTATAATTCATGACTGTACTACAGTGTACTTGCTGGTTTGAGGGAGTACTTGAAGTATTTTCCTGGGTAGTGATGATTTGTGGCTGGGACTCTAGAATCCTTATTAATTTAGTAGGGTGGGATGATGCCATGGAGGCCCTTATACTTTGACCCTGTTCGAGACATTCTTTTCAAATGAGCTCTCTGTTTTAGACAAGATGCCTTTTCTCAATGATTGAATTAACCAGGAAGTTGCTCAATTAACTTACAACAAACAGGGCTAGACCAGGTAAAAATTTGTTTGGCCTGGTTATCATGTCTGTCAACTGTCTGACAATAATATTATTTGAGCCCTGCTTAGGTTACTTTTTAGTACATTTTTGTAAAATATAAACATACATGTACATGTTGACAGCAACTTTCAACCCCATTTCAGGGCATAAACTTCAACCCCAATCGGCTGATAGTTAACACTTTGAAATCTCACTGTATGTTGGACTATGCCAAGTCTGAGGGTAAACAAGATCAACTTGCTGAAAACCTGTTTAAAACTTACTTTGAGGAGGCTAGAGATATCAACTCTACTGATGTTCTTGCCAAGGTTGCTGTGGATACTGGTCTTAACCTGGACGCCATGGAAAAGTAAACATTATACTCCTTCTTCATAATATTCTTGCTGCGTTTTACTTAATTGTTGACGAGTTTGCAAATTTTCATGACCTCACCTCATTAATTATCCAAGTCCATTGCCAGTGGTGGATGTAGGGATGGAGCTCGATCCCAATTGGATGATTTAAGAAAATATCATTACCATACCATGGATGGCTTCCATTATTTTAACCCCCCTTGCCTTTGGAATTTCCAAACTGCATTATCCCCCATGCTCTCAGAACTCAATAATCGTCAACCCCCATGCCTTCTGATTTCCAAAAAGCTGGCTGTGGTATGGTATGAATATTTTCTGTAATCACCCATGAGACCAAAACTGAGGTATTGCTTTTTTTCAGACAGTGGGGCACTCTTACCGGCTTAATATCTGAGTCTAACACAAAACAAGATTATGCATTTACATTTAAAAATGTGATTCATACCTGATATATTGCAGGATGTAAGTTATGCATTATGACCAAAAGTGCTAATGGTTTTTGCAGTCTCATAGTACAATGTAATTCTCTCATTGATTGTTTTGTTAAGTTCAACGCCAAACTTTTCTATGTTGAGAGTGAAAGTTATTGTTGCTCTTAACTTAAGGAAGTTCTCACAGAAAAGAACCATTAGCATGCAAAATAGAAAGAAATGCCATTGGGATTGTCCATTAAAAATAGTATCTATCCCTAAAAAAACCCAGAACTATAAGTTAAGCAACTACTTAAAAGTCAGAGATCACACAGTCTAGTCATAACTCCCTCTTTCTTTGTTTTTGTTGCCTGTTATGTGGAACTCCTTATTTGATGTAGAGATCAGCGGCGTAGCCAGCCTTTTTGCATCCTCGGAGACCCACAGGGGCAGATAGTGGGGGCGAGGGAAAGTCTAAAGTAAAGAACGGCGAGAAGAGCCCCTGGGGACAATGTCTTACCAGACAAGTTCCAAACGGTCGTCGCCGTTCTGACTTCTGATTGGCACAAGTTTTCTGGCACCAATCAGAAGTCAGAACGGCGGCGACCGTTTGGAACTAGTCTGGTAAGACATTGTCCCCAAGGGCTCTTCTCGCCGTTCTTTACTTTTCTTCGTGCCATATTTTCCGCCCGTTTAGACTTTCCCTCGCCCCCACTATCTGCCCCTGGGTCTCCGAGGATGGCCCTTTTGCATAGGGGGGTTCCTAATGTAGTTTTGCTGGCCCGATTGACAACCGAGCGCGGGAGACGCTCTTTGTTACAGGGGTCCTGAGGCATGCCTCCCCCCCCCCCCCCCGGACCCCCCCCCCCCTCGAGAAATTTTGAAATGTAAGTCATCGGAAATACGATTTCCAGCGTTCTGAGAGGCAAACCAAAGTGTTTTAACTGCTGTGAATTCAAGTCAGCTTTCGTTTCGTAGTGACAAAAATTAGGCGATATGGGATCGCAGCAGATAAATTAAGACATTGAGGTACAAATTTTCTTTACGTTTCTGTAGGGCCCGAAAGGTCGACCAATTTTGCCCGAATATTTTTTTTTGACGACTGGGGGACCCTAGATATAGCATGTGATGTCTTTTTAGATTAATTTTCTTTTCTTGTTCTTTAGAAGCGAAGATCTCTTCCCGCGCAATTCCGAAAGGAGGTTCCGATAAATGTTTCCTCTTGAAATTATAAACATGGTCATAGCTCAAATGGGGGGTCCCGGAACCCCTGGAACCCTCCCCTGGCTACGCCCCTGGAGATACATGTAGACTTAAGTGCTGACTGCAGCAATTACGTAGACTTGGGGGCAATACCTAGTTATCACTGACAGCCCTGGTATAATTGTTTTTAGACACATGAAGGACTCTGTTTCACGAGTAAGAGAAGAAGCTATGGAAGCCCGTGATGAAGGAATTAATGGAGTTCCTTACTTTAACATCCGTCTAAAGGGACAAGCTGAGCAAGTTGCCGCATTTTCTGGTGCACAGCCACCTGATACATTTAAAAGTATCTTCCAGCGTCTGTTGTCACAAGACAAGTCTAGTGTTTAGGCTCAAGCTTTCTTGTTTTATTTTACATTACATTATATCTCTGTTAGAAATACTATTAGGGCCTACAGTAGTAGCGGCAAGACTGTTCTCTTCAAAATAAGGAATGCTAGGCAACCCAATTCTCTGAACCTGCAAAATGTATGGTCTCCAGCTTAATGTGATTTCTATGCAAAAACTGAGATTTCCAAGTTGCCAAAGAGAAAAAGTAAAGTACCACGGACCACCAGGCACTGCTAGAACATAGCCCTGCAGTCTGCAAACATTTTCTGAAATATTGAATCAACTTTGATAGCAAGTATATTAGATTTGATTTGAAAGCATTAATTACACGGGGGCATGGTTAAAAATTTTCCTCAGTCATGCGCAGTTTTCCAATCATTCCTACCCTGTCCTCCAAATTGTTTTCATGTGGGTGGCTCGATTAAATGTTCCTTTTTTAAAATCAATAAGGGGAGGCAATCGTAACTCTTCCTCTAAGGACTCCCTTCTTCAAGCAAGAGTTACGGCTTTCATGTGTGGCAAAATCGAATGAAAACACCAAATTTTGTCGCACCGTTTTCCAGGTATCCTTTATCTACCTTATGTGTCCGCTTTCCTTTGCTAGGTGCACAGTTCATCGACTTAACTACATGTAGATATGCTATTTTCTAGTCTTTCTAAGAAAGCAAAATCTGCATCAGGCTCACAAAAATGCTTCCAGGCCACTGTAATCCTAGTCAATTTTGCAAGTGACGAGGAGTGCATTCTTTTGCTTGTAAGCAAGGGCAGAACATATTCAAACAAAGCACCGATTTCCATAATAGAGGGCACTGTATTATAGCCGAACAAATGTAACAGAAAAGAATAGCTGGGAGTGTGCATATTTTCAAACCTCAAAATATTTATATTTACGGGAAAAGTACACTCACGTACTTATATCGTTGTATTTTCATTACTGTCTAAACTGTTGAGAGCGACTTTCATATTTAACAACCTGTCAACTCGTCTAGGCGGCGTGGGTAGCTGATAAGATTAGAGTGGGTTACTTAAGTTTACCTAGCTGATTTACAAATTTTTATTTAAATGCGTGTAAAGTAGAGTTGTAAGCTTTTTATTTGTTATGCTAGAGTTTGGAAACACTTCAAGCTTTCCTAAAATGTCTTTTTCTGTAGTTGGCTCATCTCAAAAAAATCTTATGTGGCTTTATGATGATCTTGGAATCAATTATCTTGTATTAACTCTAAGATCTGATGTTTTGATAACTTAGTCACAAGATTTTGACCAGCTATTTGTAAGTCTTTTGTAGGATGGCCTCTGTGTAAACAAAGAAATGGAAATAAATTGCAATGCAACTATACCATGTTAGTGAGAGCTGTGGTTTTCATAAAAAGTAAAGTTGTTAGTATTCAGCCGATTGGATGGGCAAAAAAATCTTTAAAATATGCAGTACTACTCTTTACATGCCGCGATTTTTCTCCCAACCTGACCAGTCTAACACGTCTATCCCAGAACAGACTTGACACTTGTATGGCGCCGCTAGGGTAAAATTCCAGCGAGCAATGCAAATGGTCATGAAATAGCAGCAAACTTTAGAAGTCACCGACAAATTCTCTCATTCTCTATTTTCCAATTGCCCATGATACACTCTGTTTGCCCCCCAAATTCTGCATAAACCATTGTTTTTAAATGCTCCTGGGAGTTGTGCATTTTCCCAAGAGCATTTTAAGACAATAAGTTATGCAAAATTTGGGGGGCAAACAGAGTGTATTATGGGCAATTGGAAAATAGTCAATGGACTTAATGTACGGTAAAACAGGCAACGACGGGCAACTTGTTTTGCAACATTGCTGCAAAACGAGTTGAATAGCGGTGTTGCGTGTTTAACCACCCACGTTCGAATCTGTCTTGCAACAAATAAAGTTGCAAGATTTTTTTTTTTCGTAGGGGGTAAAACGCGCAATATCGCTATTCAACTCGTTTTGCAGCAAAGTCGCGAAACAAGTTGCACGTTTATTGTTGCCCGTTTGACCGTACCTTTATATTTACCAATGTAACGCAGAAAGTAACTGAAATCGTAGACTACAAAACAGCCCGTATTTAGGCCAAGAAAGCGCGCGAACGGTAGGACAATTCTAGCCCGCGTAGCAAGCGTTTCCTTGAGGTTTAGCAGCGAAGAACGAGGAACGAGAGTGAAAGACCGCGAGAAAATGGCGCATAATGGAAATAAGCAGGCAAAATGGCGCAAGTAAAAGAGCGGGGAGGGCTCTTGGCTCTTGGCTCATTTCTCGTGCGGCCAAAACCGAGGATCCCGTTCCTCGGTCTTTCTTTGCTCCGAAACCAAACGGAAACGCTTGCTATGCAGGCTAGGAAAATTCTGTTTTTTAGATCTTTTTAATACATCAGCCCGATCAATTCCAACAGCTTTTAACTCTTTCTGTATTAAAATCGGAAGAAAGTTGGCAAGAAGATTCCATATAGACTCCACGTGGCCTTCAGGTGAAGAATTAAACTGCCGTTGTAATACGAAAGCAACTTTTCCCTTTAAAATTAAACATTAATAACAGGACAGCCAAGACAAAAGTAACTTTGCCTGTGGTGCGTTATTGTTAACGTTCAATTTTGTACTGCATTAAAGCAGCAGGATTTGAATGTCGTCGTCTTTTTAAAAAAGCTTCAATATTTCTTCCTTCAACTTCGTTCCCAGGGCTTTTCTTTTCAGTTAGTCCACACACAACTCTTATCCTTTCTGATCGAGCAGAATTTTAATCACACCCAAGTAGTTTGGGCTTAGACCTAAATTTTCTTCTGTCACTGCATCTGCATGCTACACTAATCAGATTATTTTACGCTATGGACACTGGTTTGGTAATTTTCACTGCTTTTGCTGTAGAAAATGCCGCAAGAGACTGGTTTTTCGTTGTAAATAGAAGCCAGGAGAATTGGTGCGACAACACAATATCCGACCAAAAAACCTGTCTCCATTGGGGTTGCTCAGGGACCTATCTGGCTCCGCTCGCCAAGAGGTCGACTTGTAGCAAGTCTACTACTAGTACTACTACTGCTACTGCTACGTCCTGCTACTGCTACTACTACTACTACTGCTACTGCTACTGCTACTGCCACTGCCACTGCCACTGCCACTGCCACTGCCACTGCCACTGCCACTGCCACTGCCACTGCCACTGCCACTGCCACTGCTACTGCTACTGCTACTGCTACTGCTACTACTACTACTACTACTACTACTACTACTACTACTACTACTGCTGCTGCTGCTGCTGCTGCTGCTGCTGCTACTACTACTACTACTACTACTACTACTACTACTCTGCTACTGCTACTGCTACTGCTACTGCTACTGCTACTGCTACTGCTACTATTACAACTACTACTATTAATTATCCTCTCCCCTTGTGAGGCTTTTCAGGGATTATGAAACAGATAAATCAAATTTAAATGAAACATAACGTGGTTAAATACCCTACCCGGTAGGAGGCAAACCAGCTGGCTATTTACAAGCGTTTGCGAGGATTTGAAGTAGGGACTGCCAACAACAAATCCAGCTAGCAGTCAGGGCGGGACTTGAACTTGGGGCCTCCTAATTACAAGTCCAGCACCCTAACCACTCGGCCATGCCGCCTCCTCAAATGATGAATGATCTACCAAACGTCCTTGGAGGTCTTCCCTGTCTTAATGATACTGCATTCAACTCTCTCTCTCTTAACGAACACCTGTTTAACAAAGACTTCTCTGTGGTTTTGGTCCTGCCGTTCTTCATGATTCATTTTCACGCTGTAACTATGCTCTCTATAAGGCGGACAACGGACTCTTTTGAAACCATTAACGGACACTTGAGAAGTGCTTTATAAAGTGAAGAATACCTCAAAACGTAAATATCAGTGCTATATATAAGTGCTCTACATGGTGTCCGTCGATAGAGAGTTGCCCGTATTGCTGACGGCGATTTCCTGAAAAAAAGCTAATTCTTTTTCCATATCTAGGCCAAGACAGATATCTGGGAATCTACAGGTGAATGATGATAAACAACCTTTCTTTCTCGAGAATCAGTGCCGTTTGGTCCGTTAATTTGCGATGCGGCGAAATGTTTTGATCATATGTTCTAAAATCGTGGTAATATAGTTGCAACGCAAAGGACTGTAGGAAGACATTCCACTCGATCCTAGATCTGGGCATAATAATTAAGGAGAACTTGTCATGGAATGGTGACATTTAGCATATTCGTCATTGGAACCTCTGTCTTCTGAGACGGATGAAAGAATACTTTTAATACCTCCTTTTAGCGCCAGGGTGGCCTTCTATTTTACCACACTTTGGTTATGGACACATCATCAGGGGCGACCGAGGAAACTCGACATTGATGAAAGACTTGTAAGTGCTTCAAAATAAAGCTGTCCGTATAATTTTAGAACGGTCTCCCTTTGGTACTTGCAGCTGCTAGTGCTGTTCTAGCAAACTACATTGGAAACCACTATTGCGTAGGAGCCGAGCGTAGGAGACCCGAAAACCGCGCAATTTCTTTTAAAAAATCAATTAATAACCTTTTTTCATGTCTCCCAAGTGATAGTTTTACCCGTAACTGTCACTATCTAAGAAAAATCTAAAAACACTGGTCCAAAGGCTCCTCCTTCCTTTGGCGGCAGTTTTCTTAATATTTTTCTTACCTCAAGTTATTTGCTGGATATTTGAAAATATGCCGCAAATAAAAGTTGATTTGATGTTTCACTTTTAGGAGCCACTTCTCCATCCAGCTTTAAAACTCTCAACTTTAATTTTAGGGTGGAAAGGGCGGAGGGGGCGGGGGCGGGGGGGTGGATTTCTACTGTGTAGAGACCCGGGGCTCTTGGCAAAGTATAAAAGGTGGCACAGAAAAGTGAAAATTGAACCTGGCTCAACTTGTCGTTTTACGCACGACTATACCTACCATTGTATTCTATCAAGACGATTTTTGAGTGTATTGCATGGGGTAGAAGAAAGCTTGTATAAAACCTGCAAACGCCATA